ACCAATATCCTATACACATTCGTCTCCTCCATTCGTGCTACATGACCTGCCCACCCCACCCTCCTTGACTTGATCATTCTAATTATACTTGGAGAAGAGTACAAGTTATGAACCTCCTGTCACTTCATCTCTCTTTGGTCCAAATATTCTCCTCAACACCCTGTTCTCAAACACCCTTAGTCTATGTTCCTCCCTTAATGTCAGAGACCAAGTTTCACACCCATACAGAACCACACGCAAAATTATAGTTTTGTATATTTTAATTTTTATTTTTTTGGACAACAGCCGAGAAGACAAAAGGTTCTGGACTACCTCTGTAAAACAAAACTATTGAATTATTATAGATTGTTGTGATCTTAAAGCAGAACATTCTCTTCTTTTCAGAGGAACTACCTTATATCAACGTTCCTCTGCACACACTCATCAAGATAACAACAGATGGCTATAACTGTCACATGGAATGTACTAAATTGAATGTGGAGTGCGTGGACACATACAGGAAGCAGCCTAAGGTACATGCCAGAAATTAAATTACAAAAATTACAATTTAATGGAGAGAAATGAGTACAGTAAAATTATTATAAGAAAGAACCTCTTTATAATAAAGAAAGAAGGAAGAATCAACTGGAATATGGGGAAAACTGCCAACTAGGAGCTTCATAATTTGTACCTTTCAACTAATATTAGAGTCATCAAATTGGGGAGTACGCGTAAAGAAGATGAAAATTCATGTAAAATTTCAGTCAGAAAACCTGAAGGGAACAGATCATTTAGGAGGTCTATGTGGCAGGATATTATTAAAATTGATCCTAAAGGATTACAGTAGGAAGATGAGGGATGAATACATCTGGCTCACAAGTGAACACATTCTGGCTAGCTGAGCAACTGTCAGCTTTTCATGAATTACTGCAAGAAGTTGGGTTGTAATGAAGAAAGTCATGGGCCTAGCAGAGGTATAATATGTTTATATTTAGGCTATCAAAGAAAATTCGCATACATTAAAGTAGTTCAAACACTGGATTCTCAAAATAGAAACTATGGTAGGTAGTTTTCATCAAGTGGAATGCTGGTGGTTCAAGCTCATTCCCCTCCAAAATGTTTGGGATGATGTGAAAACTACTTTTTCTGACAAAAGTTTGAGGTTAAGGTTACTTAATCTGAGCATTAAAACTTATATTGCATGCATTATTTTTTATTCGTTCCTGAATTTTATTACAGAACTGTTCAGCAGATCGCACAACAGATGATGCTCTTCTTACTGTGCCATCTCATTTTGACTCTCTTAACTTCTGGCAGCTGACAGGTCAGTCATCTCTCATCACACAGCACTAGACAACTTCCCTCATGTTTTTTATCATATCTCTCTGGCCATGGCAATTTCTTTTTGTGTTTTTTATACCTATTTTCTTCCACTTGTCATAATCATAAATGTGAAATGAACTTCCCAGTTGTGTTTGATATATCAGAATCATTTCAACCTCCCTCTCATATGTCTATAACTGAAAAATGTGCATTTTTAACTAGAAAGTAGAAAGACTGTGACAGGTATTTTCTAACGTGTGCCCCAGTCTACCTGATGAAAAGACTGTTGTTCACATGCATAGTTCTTTTCTTAACACACTCAGCTGTTACATCATCATGTACCCTCTCAGAAAATGAAATCTGTACATGTTCTTGAACTGGGATCAAATGTTGCCCTCCTCCTTCAGAAGAAGTAACTTTTTTGAAATCTCCAAGGATTTTCAGAAATGTACATGATGAAATACAATTAACATTTGCATCATCCAATTTCTTTTATGAAAATGAGAATTATATCAGTCTGATTATAGCAATACTTTACTGCCATCAGTTCCAGTGTGACAGATTAAATTTCATCGTACTTTTTCTTCCTGATGGTGCATGAGATTTATTTTGAGTCAGTCTGGGTCACACAGAATTCATGCTTAGTTGAAGAGAACTGAAATAGAGTGAAGGTGTGGTAGTATCACCTAACAAAATTTACATTAAAGTAGATGTGTTGAGATGACCTTTGAGAGAACACCTCAAGACATGGAAACCTTCTTCATTTATAGCATAAAAATCAGTACCATAATCATCTTAACTACAAATCAAACTATTTATTTTAGAATACTGAACTGACTTTTAGTATTTCATGAGCAATTTTATAACTTGTACAAATTTCTCTCTTATTAAAGTTTGTGAAATGATTTATTTTATTGTATCTGAAAATACAGTATATGCTTCATCTTTATGTTATGTAATTTGTTTTGTGCCTTGTGTACTGATCTTCATATACAGTTGTACCACTAGTTTTAGATTGGATTCATCTTTTTGTTTCATTCAAAAGATGATCAGATATTGTGTTTATTACTTTGTATAATGCAGTGTTTAAATTAACTGTGCATAGATAGTACTTAAAGAAGTATACTTTGAATAGTTATAAATATTAGTGTAAGATGTGAATGTTTTAAAATATTTTGTATATTTGTGTGTAATGTTCAGCCCTAATATTGCCTGGACTGTTTGGGTTTAATTATGGCGAATCTTATGCAATAAATGCTCAATTATGTAACACGCACAGTGAAATGCACTGCATTAAGAACAGATACAACTAAAATCAGTGTTTTAAATATTCTGTTAGTCTGTGCTTTATTAGAATGATGATAATGCATTCGTTTGACTGTACACTGGAAAGAACTTGTACTTGGAAGTCATCCTACAGAATCATTCAGCCACAATGAATGTCATCTGGGATCTTAAGTCAAAGAAGTACAACATTAAAAGTTTTCATGTGTAAATGTGCACAGTCTATAAAAGAAGTTACAAGATTACAGTTTATGCGATGTAAAAGCACATAGTTTGACTGCATGGGTGTATCATGTAAAGGAGTGCAATACTGATCTACCTGCAAGACTAAACATGCGTGTGATAGATGTATACAGTATCTGTGAGCTGTTTCTATCCACAAGAGGTGCTACACTAGTAAATGTCTGTCAGACTGCCAGAACAAATGGCTAATTAAAGTAGTGTGTAAAAATGACATGTGTAGTTATATTTATAGTAAATTACATGCTTATTGTCTGTGTTAATGGATGTTGAAGAAACTAGTCCAGAATAGGAAACTGTACCAGATAGGTAACTCCCTACCATACTATTAGTGTCTGCATTGTAGAATGAGGGCAGAACAATTATTACAGCAAATTTTGTAATCTGTACTAAATTACGTAACAGCTTCAAAATGCTCAGTTATTTTTGCAGCTAACTCAAGATGTATTATTTTAAATAACTGAAATTATTAAGTAGCTGTGTCTGTAACATATGTGATTAGTACTTAAGAGCACATATAATTTTTATATTAATGATATTTATAAATAAAGAGTCATTACTAAGAAGTGCAGGCTTAGATGTGTTCCATCATGAGTAGACTAGACTGTAGCATAAGGGACACAAGTACAGATTGTTCATAATTGTTCCTGTAAGGTGCTTCTTTACAGATATGCATAAACTAATAGCACATCCTATAGTTGATTAGGTAAACTGTGACTGGTAGGGTATACCTATCAGTGGGATTCTTTGTAACTTAGAAGCAAATTTCTTTTGCCATTTTCAAGGAATTCACTATATCCCACTTGAGTCATCACAACAAGGAGAAATGTTATTCTTTGCATTCAGTACTGTTCTTTTATGTAACTGAAATAGACTGTACATTTAATTATTAATAACAGTGCCTGATTTTAATGATATAATTATAGTATAGTTTTTATATGAAAATACAAGCATGATACATGTGTATTGTTACTGACAGATCAGACCTTGTTCCTGTAAGTATAATCCTATCTTTGAATTCCAAGACCTTTCATTTGTAAAATTACCAACACATCTCCTACATTCAGCTAGTAGGAACTCCAGTGTTGACCATATGTTGAACTGCATTCATTTACATGCTGTATGGTATAACCCAAAAGTAAGCTAGAGCAGAGAATTTTTATCTTGAAACTTTCCATCCTTACAACATACCACAAGGAAGGTCCAAGAAAACAAGGAGGGACTAGAATTAAGTGGAACATATCAAATTCTAGTCTACATTAACATTAACTTATACAGGCTCCCCCTGACATTATTAATGAAGCTGGTTCATTAGCAATCACAAATATATTGTACACATTCATGTCTCATCACAGAAATGAAGGGTAAAATCAATAATGGATAATAAATCACTTAAAACTATTGCAAAGTTCAAATATTTTGGGATGACATTGACAAATAAAAATTAAATTTATGAAAGAATTCAGAAAATGGGATATAGAAAAGCAGCCTTTTTTATTCGGTGATACTTAGAAACATATGGAAGAGACAGTTTTGGGACATGTAAGGCTTGTTACTCAAAAGACTGTCTGTAGTGTTTTGGCTAGTATAAACAGCTCAGTAAAATCAAAGTATATACCACATAACTGGAAGATGGGAGTGTCAATACCAGTATAAAAGAAAGAAGACAAGAAATATCTTTACCTCTGGGGAAACAGCCTCAGTGCCCACTGAATAGGAGGTTGGGTGGTCCCCAGAGCCAGTCTGGACAACATGGAGAAGTGAAAATTCTTGACCCTACCAGGACTTGAACTCTGACCCCTCGGTTGTCCAGTCACTACACCGACTACACTATCCCGGCTCTTATAAGTGTGGTCTTATGACATGAAATAATCTTCAAAAGTTCCCCAAATTAAATAATATCATTCTTACCACACAGAAACTTTCCATTGACAGCAAAACACAAACCAAGCTTCATAATACCTTACGACAATAAAACAAAGCACCATGAACATTACGAGTCTCAAGCTGTTCACAGCGACACTAATAATCATTAATAATGATACAAA